ATATACATATAAAATACAAAATTAAAAGTTAAAGGAACTTTAAGATCTGGATATACAAAAAAACAACAACACAAAACAAAAACGGAAGTACAGATCATATTTAATAAAGAAGAAAAATGTCGTGAAATATTTTTTTTTAGACTTTCACGCAATGCTACTTAAATACTATCTGCACATAACCATTCCTAATTTCGGGCTGGCAGACTGGAGGGAAATAGGTAGCACGCAACGCCAACACTTGGGTTATTGTTGTTTGACCGAATAGTGGGAATTAACCATCACTCTTATAGCGCACTAAAAGCCCTAAAGTACGGACCGTACTCTTGCAGGAACGGGTCGCGAATCATGAACCTTCGAATGCATGGTCCAGGTATACACTAACACTAACCACAAGACCAGGCCCATCTCCCTGTAAAAAACAACAAAAACAAAACTTTTTATATAGAATAAGGAAAACAGATGATATACTGAGAAATTTTGCTATCATTGTATAAAAATAATAGTAATTTCACGGGAAAATCAAAACTAAACTAATTTAATAGGCAAATGAAAAACTAAACTAATTTAATAGGCAAATGAAAAACTAAACTAATTTAATAGGCAAATGAAAAACTAAACGGATTTAATAGGCAAATGAAAAACTAAACTAATTTAATAGGCAAATGAAAACTAAACTAATTTAATAGGCAAATGAAAAACTAAACTAATTTAATAGGCAAATGAAAAACTAAACGGATTAGAAGGTCAAAAGTTTGGCTACAGGGAAACGTCTAATTGAACAAAATCGATGAGTTGTTACGTACTGTAGACATGCATATGTACACCTTTAACATACAAATGTCATCATTCTGGTTCTGGAAGCGTCTAATTGAACAAAATCGATGAGTTGTTACGTACTGTAGACATGCATATGTACACCTTTAACATACAAATGTCATCATTCTGGTTCTGGAAAGCATGTCTACAGTACGTAACAACTCATCGATTTTGTTCAATTAGACGATATGTACACCTTTAACATACAAATGTCATCATTCTGGCAAACGCACACATAGACAGGTAAGTGACTCAAATATAAAACAAATTATTCTAAATCATGTCTGATAAAGTCAGCAGTATTGACAGACATAGCATCATAAAAGAAACTACACGCAGAAAAAAGTGAAACATGATTTTAGTAGCTATTCAAAGGCTATTTATATGAAAAAAAAAGAAACGTAAGTTATTTGAAACACTGTTTTAGAGAGGAACACGTTACCGTTTTCTCTATACTGGATCATGTATTTGTTAAACATATTGAGATATTTAGATTTTTTTGGAAATGCGAAGCCATAGCCAGTCATGGAACACCAGGCGCCAACAGTCAGCAGGCGACATTCGTTGTCTTGTCCTGCAAGGTATTCTAGCACGGTGGCGTCGTAGATGAAAGCGTCTAACTCACTGAAACAAGACAAACATCAAATTATACCACTTAAAATTATTACAGGTTTACTGAATTTTAGCGCTATAGAAACGTGACGTAACGTGGATTATTATTATCAGGCCTACGCATAATTTTTGAAAGGAAGGTTCTAATTTGTGAAAGCAAAAGCTTACACTTATTGTGCTAAGCACAATCAGCATGCAAAGCACGCTAATGCTTCAGGGGTTTGGGGGCATGCAACTGTTTCAAACCAAAAAATGCTAATGCTTAATCAGAAGAATTTAGACAACATAGAAGACATTAAAGACCATAAGTTGCTACGCTATGACTATTTACGCACAATTTTTTTACATCACAAAAATAGGGAGTTCAGTTGAATCCTCTCGACCTCCCCCCGTGTGAATTTGCGCGATTATTATGTTTATATATAAGAAAATATTAAAGCGTGAACAGTACGCAAAAATAATGACGTTTGCATATTTTTTTCAAATAAAACTATCCCGTTGTCCAAGATATTTAATAAGTGCAATTTAAGTTCATAAAAACAATAAAAACAATAGAATATTGTTTTCTGTCGACGATTATTAAGTCAGATACAAAATACGTATCGTTGTAGTTTGTGCTCTGCCCACCACGGGTATCGAAACCCGGATTTTGACGTTGTAAGTCCATCTTGCGAGTGGGTTAAAGTTTCTTAAAACATAAATATTTAGTCTCCAATATCAAACGAATTTTGGCTTTTTGGAAATTTTCAACTTTCTACTTGCATTACAAAGTTCATAACTGTCTTTGAATTTGAAGATTAAATTGACTGTTTTTGTTTACTTGCCCAAAACTTCTCGACTTACATTACACAACAAACCAATTTTTGCTGGGAAAATAATGTATACTTTATATTACAGTACTTATTCTTTCTGATCGGTTGTAACAGTATATGCATTTTTTGTGTGGGAAGAAAACAACAACAAAACATAATAAATATAAACATCACGTAAACCGTTTCTCTTCAGCTTGGCTGTAACAAAATGAATGTATGGAAACTGAACATTGCCCTACATTTGTTTTCCTTATTCTGTTAAAAAATTACTAATATATCGAATTTATATATTGAGTTCTTTTATTTGTTTGTTTTGGAATTTCGCGCAAAGCTACACGAGGGCTATCTGCGCT